GTCATCTGTAAAATGATGATTACAACACCTATCCACCAGAGTTCCTGAGAAAATCAGCTGAGATAACACAGTGACACATCTAGCTCAGGGCCTGCTTTATGAAAGCAAATGGCATTATTATTTTGTGGTACTGTATCTGCTACTTCCTAGTGGTGGATAAGAAAACAACAGCAAGCAAACAATACCGCTGGAGGTCAAAATCAAGTACAAACATATGTTAAGCCCTTTTTGTTCAATAACTACAAAGCTTCCAGGTTCTTTTATGTTTTCCCAGTTGAGCTGGTACCCATCATGAGGACAAACGAGGTGGCATATGCGATCACAAGATCTTGCAGAGTTGGGAGGCTGGATTCTATGTAATAAAGTCTGCTTTCCACAAGTGGTGAGGGCCTGGCATGATGAAGTGTGAAGTTCTGAAAGGTACAGCCATGAAATAAGGTGCCTCTTCATTTACACTGAATACAGAATTACAAACCAGCAAATCTACGGATCAGACAGTAGCAGCAGAGGCAGAACTGGTGGTAGTGAAAATAACAATGCTTGGGGTGATCATCATCACTGTCATCTTTTATGTTTGCAACCCTTTACAGTTGTGGACTTTCATGTTTTATCCCATCTAATTCTTGCTACATCTCTGTCACCGAGGTAGAACTAATGAGCAAATAGGCTCAAAAAGGTTAAGAGATTTGCATCAAGATCAGAACTCTCACCAAATCCAATAGTCCAAAAATTATTCTACAGTCCCTCATTACTTTCTCTATTGAGGTGTCAGAATCAATTTCTTTCAAGGTAAGTATGTCAGACACACTGCTCTTATCTTCCTGAGGCTAGAGAATGAGGTACAGACAAAGAAAAAAAAGAGAGAGAAAGAGAGAGAAAGAGGGGGACAGAGAGAGAAGCCCCACACAGAAAAGGCTCTTTTAAGGATGCAGCAGTAATGGACATAGGAGAACATAAGCACACAGGAGAGGGGACTATGGAATCTTAGGAGCCCACTATGGGTTGAATTGTGTCCCCTGCTCCCCCCAGAAAGATAGGTTGAGGCTCTAACCCCCAGTACCTCAGACTGTAACCTTATTTGGAAACAGCTGTTGTGACGGAACCAGTAAAGATAAGGTCATACTGGAGCAGGGTGGGTCCCTAATCCAATAGGACTGGTGTCCTTATAGAAAGAAAGCCATGTAAACACAGAAACACACAGGGAGAACACATGTGCCAATGAAGGCAGAGACTGGAATTATGCCCCGCAAGCCAATACTGAAGAGACAATTTATAAACTTGCAATACATTTTTAAAAATTTAAGGTATTGCTGATATACGATCTTATGAAGGTTTCACATGAACAACACAGTGGTTTCAACATTTACCCATATTATCAAGCCCCCCCCAACCACCCCACTGCAGTCACTGTCTATCAGCATAGAAAGATAATTACAATACATTTTAAAGTCCCTCTATGTGTCTGTCTCTCGATATTGTCCAAAAGATGCTGAATAATTACTAAATGCTTTTATGAGTAATATCGATACTGTTAGCACCATGACCCAGTAGCAGAGCATCACCAAAAGAACCGCCGCCTTAGTGAACTGGCCATCGCTTTATGCTCCCAGGATGGGAAGATGCTCTCCGAGCACTTTTCCGAAGTTTACAGAGAAATAATTATTACCTGGATCCTAAAAATAAGTGTTCTTTCCACTGTTACAAGCAGCAGTGGAAAGAACACTTCCTGGGAAGGAAACTGGGCCTGTTTACTGTACCTATAGCACAGAAACCACACCAAATGTCAAAATAACTTTCAGGATAAAACAAGACCAATAAAAAGAAGACAAGTTTCCATTCAGTCTGTCCATTTACTTGTAACTTGCCATTTGCTCTGTGTCAGAGATTAAGTGTCATATACTCCTCAGGTCCTAGCCTCCAGCCTGACAGGCACAGGTAAACCTGGGACACATGCATGGAATCTTCTGGATGGGCCATGTGTAATTGCTATGATTAAAAAAGTATAATATCAGACACAAACCATTTCTTTTTCTTTTTCTATTTTCTTTTTTTGCCAATGTTTACCTTCTCTCTCACAGAGAGGTAGGAGAGTAACTTCTGTGGAGAAAGTGAGGGTTCCTATGGCCAGGATTCTCACCTGGTCCTGGTCGGCTCACTTATTACACACGTGTGGGCAATACATTGTTATTGACTCTTTATAAAGTGCTACGCCCAGTGCTCTGGAAGGCTGCAGGCTGCAGGAAAGCAGACACTGGAGTGGTAGCAGTGCCGAGGATGGACACTGAGACGGCTGCGGGGGCACACAGGCCCAGAGGCAGAGACCGGCTTGCTGCCTGCAGACTTCCTCTGAGTGGATGGGATTCTAGTGATTGACCTGCCACCATGGAAATAAAGTTGGGTATAAACCCTTTCAATCCAAGAACGTTCCATTGTCGTTTTTTTGGTCTCACTGAATCCACAGTGAATTATCCAGGGCTGAAACCCATTGGCAAGACACCTCCAACTGCACAAATGTTAGAGAAACCACTATTCAGAATGTTATTAGGAAGGGGCTTCTGTCATCAGAACAATATCATGAGGCTACCTCATGAGTTGGGTGGTGATGTCTTCCCTCCCTGAAACCAATCTATTTCCTGATCTTCAGAGCCTCTACTTACCAGACTGTCTGCCTCCTTTTCAAGCTGCCAGAACCACACAGGTCCTTGGCTAACACTACTACTGGCAACAGAGAATTCACTGAACCCTGGGATTTTCTTTGGGGATTATCTTTTGGCACTCGATAGCTTGAGAGATAGTGATCAAAAAGAAAACAGAAAAAACAAAACATTAACAAAGTGGCATTTTCATTTTAGCTGCTCCTGGGTACAAACAGAGTAGTGAAGAGAAATCCTAGATTGAAAGCTTTGTGGTTATCTCCATTTCTCATTAAAGTGTCCCTGATTACAATCACACCTACGATTAGAAGATTTAACATACCTGGTCTCAAGGATGCACCAGGAGGAGGAATCATACATTCATCTCATCCCATTTTATTTACTTTATTCACTGAGTAAGCACAATTTATAAATTTCAGAATGCTGACTAGAGTTGGTTTGGAGAACAGGAGAGAGGATTTTCATTCACACGGCTTTTTGAGGATTGGAGAACAGGAGAGAGGATTTTCATTCCATGGTCACAAATTATTTTAGTACTCGTGAGACAAGCCTTGTTGCTTTCTTTGGCTATACACGGATGTGAGAATTCTGGATAGAATTTCTACTTCTCTCACTTCCTAACCAGTCATTTTGCTCTGCTTCACCCACACGTTTTCTCTCTAAGAGTGTGTGCACTCATAGTTTTGTAGATTTCTTTTAAGAGTGTGGTAATTCATATTTTAAAACAAATTTGTATTTTGAAAAATTTCAGATTTACAGAAAAGTTGCAAAAAAAACAAAGACTCCTATACAGCCCTCAACCAGTTTTTTGTACTTACAGAACAATGATATATTTGTCAAGAGTTTCCTAGAAAATCCATCTTGAATGGATGAAAAATGATCATTTTTTAATTAAGGTATCGATATATAAAATCTTAGGAAGGTTTCACATGAGCAACATTGTGGTTACTACATTTCACCCTATTATCAAGTCCCTCCCACATACCCCATTACAGTCACTGTCTATCAGCATAGTAAGATGCTATAGAGCCACTACTTGTCTTTTCTGTGTTAAATTGCCTTCTCCATGCTTCCCCTACATTATGTGTGCTAATCATAATACCCCTGAATCTCCTTCTCCCTCCGTTCCTCCCCACCCTCCCCATCTCCTCTCCCTTTGGTAACTGCTAGTCCCTTCTTGGAGTCTGTGAGTCTGCTGCTGTTTTGTTCCTTCAGTTTTTTTCTTTGTTCTTACACTCCGCAGATGAGTGAAATCATTTGGCACTTGTCTTTCTCCGCCTGGCTTATTTCACTGAGCATAATACCCTCTAGCTCCATCCATGTTGTTGCAAATGGTAGGATTTGTTTTCTTCTTATGGCTGAGTAATATTCCATTGTGTCTGTGTACCACATGATCATTCTTTCTTAACTGCTTCTTGTACAGCAGATTTTCAACAAAAGCAGTTAAGACCAATAGCAATTTATTTGATTATCCGAATCATTGAGTTATGGTTTGTATGTCCCTCACACCCATCAAGATCCTACATAAAACCAGGATATAATTAATGAGTCCATTCTTATACAAAAATGGTGTCAGGAACTTGATATGGCAAAATTCTGGCAGGAATAAAGCCTGTGTGTCTGACAAAACAATCATTCCTCTAATGGCTTCGCTGACACTTAGTTAACTACTGATGAGCATCGTGGATTCTAGCATGAGCACTGTGGATTTCAGGAAGTAACTTATTAATGCAAACTCTCTCTGTAAAGTCAACTGGGAATGAGTTTCCATTAAAACCAAGAGAAAATTAATTTAGAGGTCACTCATTCTTAGCACATATATACTTTCCTCCTATATTGGCCATACTCTGGGGAGAAATCCAATCAGACCCACTTGGAAGAGGGAGAAAGTTTAATTTGTGCAGCCACTAAAATCTCATGGATTGAACTCACAGCTAGAAAGGAAACATTTTAAACTAGGCCCTTTAGTAATATGGTTCAAACAATTAAATGAGTCAGGAAGACTAGTCACTAAAGTTCAGGCTACAGAGGCAGGCTTAGTGTGTGCCAGCTAGTCACCTGGAACCTGCTCTAAGAAAGCCAGACTTAGATTCTCAGTTCATAAACTTGTTTCTGGTTTTTCTACTGCAGTTAGAGTGCGGTTTGTTTACTATGTTAAAGAGGAAACAGATATTACTGAAGATGAAAACAATACTATTTTCCTGCTACAAAACAAACTCTCTGCTGACTATTCATTTGCATGAGTCCATCCAGGGGAAAGTTTAAGGCCTACCCTGGTGAAAAGACTGACAAACATAAAAAAAACAAAGAGGTGGGGATGTTGCAAATGGTAAGAGACTGACTGACCTCAGTAGCTTTCTGGCTGAGGCCCCGAAGCAGCAGCACAATCACATGGACGGCAGCTCTGCGTACTTGAACTTCATGGTCTGTTTTAGCCACAGCAATCAGGCAAGCTGTTACCTAGCAGGGTGAGAGAAAAAGTCAATAAAAATCAGGATTGCACAATTACCTTGAGCCTTTCAACTGTGTTCCACTTTCTACACATTCATCATGAACAAGCTGGCTTAGATAGGGTGGATAGTTTTTCTCATTCTCAGTAGAGAGGGAGAGATCTAGTGGTAGAGATCTGGATTTAGTCTGGCTTTTCTGGAAAAGGACAAAACCTGGTTTGGGATTCAGCAGGGAGATCAGGGAGTGGGAAGGGATGTGCGTGTATAATAAAGGTATGGTCAAATTTAAGTATTTCCTCAAAAGTTGGAAGAACTGCTACTGGCCCCAATTTTGGGACATCAAATAGAAGAAAGGGAAAGATGGTTCAAAAGACAGCAGCTCCTAGGGACTGAGGACCACGGAGATTTAGCCATGCAGGCTTCAGAGTTCAAGGCGCAGCATGAATACGAATGTGCCACTGAGGAAAGTTTCCGCCCAGAGACACAGAAATACATAAATATTCACACTGCTTTTCTTCAGCATGTCCAGACATCCCAGTCCTACAAGCCTAGTGTACCCCTTTTGTGAGTCACCAGGAGCCAATTTTAGAGACTCCCTGCCTGGGCTTCTTCATCTGTGGAATAGGTCTTTTAGTACTCACTTACTTTAAAAGACAGCTCTATAACAGAAAAGACTGGAAATGACTTGTAAAACATGGTGCCAGATATATAGCTAATAATTATATGTCATAAAGTAAGACAGTTTCTATACCCTGTCCCCCACCCCACTCCTGCTGGCACAAAAATAGGCTAAAACCTCAATAAAGAGATATCACTAAAAACATGAGCAGCTACAAATCTTTCTGAGGCATTCATACAAAATTCAGAAAGAAAAGAACAAAACTTTCGACAGTATGGACCAATGGCACCACTAATTCGAAGGTAAGCCTAAATAAATTATTCAAGCAGTCTCTCACATACTTTCTTCTTTTTTTCTTTTTATCTTTTGGTATCATTTATCTACAATTACATGAGGAACATTATGTTTACTAGACTCCCCCCATCACCAAGTTGCCCCCACATACCCCACTGTAGTCATTGTCCATCAGCATAGTAAGATGCTATAGAATCACTACTTGTCCTCTCCGTGCTGTACAGCCTTCCCCATGTCCCTCCAACACATTATACATGCTAATTGTAATGCCCCCTTTCTCCGCCCCCCCTTATCCCTCCCTTCCCACCCATCCTCCCCAGTCCCTTTCCCTTTGGTAACTGTTAGTCCATTCTTGGGTTCTGTGAGTCTGCTGCTGTTTTATTTCTTCAGTTTTTTTTTTCTTTGTTCTTATACTCCGCAGATGAGTGAAATCATTTGGCACTTGTCTTTCTCCGCCTGGCTTATTTCACTGAGCATAATACCCTCTAGCTCCATCCATGTTGTTG